TACTACTTACTGTAGATCCTTCCCTTTCTTTTCAAAAAGAATTCTAGTGAACAGATCATTTAAAAACAACATTGGTAATATGCATTATGAATCAAGTGTTATTGCTAACTGAAAGAAAAAGCTTAAATTTCTGATAATAGAATTAAAATAACTTTAAAGTGTTGTTAAAATTCTTTCTATTCTTTTTCACCAAAGACTTCATTAGTTAGCTAACTGGCTGTGACAAGGAGTAGAAAACGTGCTTGTTTTTTTGCATAAGCTGTTCTAGTACAACTCATTTTATCACTTTTGCCAGGTGACAAGTTATTCATCACTGGTTTACCGCAATTAAGTGTTCATTTTGTGTTCATTAAGGGACTTGAGGAAGAGTATGTACAGTCTATGGAAATTATTAATGACATAATTTGAGATGTATGAGTATAGAACATATATAACCTATAAATACTTTCTTGCTGCATAATTTGAGTGTGATTGAGGAATGATTTTATTCAGATACCAATGTTACTGTTCTCACAGTTGGATGATACAGAATACATACAGTGGTACCTCTGCACTTGTTAATTGGTTCTGGGAGGCAAGTAAGTACCAAAACTGATGAGTAACAAGCAGGTTGTTTTGTTGTTTGTTTGTTTGTTTTTTCTTGCTTTTACCTAATTGCTGTCAAAATGTCAAGTACCGTATTGAATAAGAATGGTGAAAATGGTCATTCCTGATATTAGAGAAATTTGTTTTCAGTTTTTGCCCCATTCAGTATGATATTGGCTGAGTCTGCCATATATAGCCTGCATTATGTTGAGGTATGAGCTTTCTTTGCCTAGTTTCTTCAGTTTTTAGTATGAAGGCATTTTGAATATTGTCAAAGGCTTTTTCTGTATCTGTTGCGATGATCATGTGATTTTAATCCTTGATTATACTTACAAGATATATTTACCAATGTATCCCTGAAATTAAAGTAACTGAATCATGTTGTATGATCTATCTGGTATTTGTTGAATTTACTTTGCAAGTGTTAAGAATTCTTGCATCTGTATTCATAAAGGATATTCATCTGTAGCTCCCCCCTTTGTTGTAACTGTGTATGGTTTTGGTATCAGAGTGATGATACTGGCCTCATAGAATGAGTTTGGAATGTTCTTTCCTATTCTACTTCATAGAATAGTTTGAGGAGCTTATATATTTGTAGTTGTTCTGTCTTGCTGGTGGGTTGTTCCCTTTACCAATACATTTCTAATTTTGACTTAAAGTCAGCTTTGTCAGCAGTGAATAGAACTACTTCTCCTGGGTTTCAGGTTCCATGTTCATAGAATATCACTTTCCATCATTTCACTTTCAGACTATCTTTGCTGGTAATGTGTCTCTTTGCAGGCAGCAAATAATTGGGTCTTTGTTTTTTAACCCAGTCTACCAGTCTGTTTCTTCTAGTTGTATTAAGACCAGTTACACACTCAGAGTTATTATTGAAAGATATTACTAATTTCTGTAATTTTGTTTATTGTGCCATTTTTCTTAATTACCATTTCCTTATCTACGTGCGTGTGTGTAGCACACTTTTAAATACCTTCTTCAATGCTGATTTAGTGGTCATGAATTCTTTTTGTTTAGATTTATTTTAGAAGGCTTTCATTGCAATTCTGCAAAATATCTTTGCTAGCTATAGTTATCTAGGTCGGTAGTTATTTTCTTTCAGAGCTTGAAATATATCATTCCATGCCCTTTTGACCTTTAGATTTTATGCTGAGAAATACGCAGTTATTGATGGATTTGCCTTTATAAATGACTTGGTGTTTCTCTCTTGCAATTCTCTGTATTCTTTCCTTGTTCTATACTTTTGACATTTTAACTATAATGTGACATAGGAAAGTTCTTTTCTGGTCTTCTCTGTTTGAGGTTCTAAATGTCTTCTGTAGCTAAATCTTTCCCAAGATCTTAGAAATTTTCTTGTGAGAGAATGAAAAGATGAAAATAAAGTGTTTGTAGATGGGGAGGGGAGGAGGGGGTGAAGGGAGGGCAGAGGTAAGGGGAAAAAATGAGAATCAAGACTTGTCATGTAGAGGTACAAGATCCCAACATTGAATGTAACTGTACTGTATCCCTAAAATGTACCAATAAACTCAATTAAAGCTGAAAAAAAACAATAAAAAAAACAAAAATAAACAAAACAAAAAAAAGTAGAAAAACAAATCAGATCCTGAAATACAGTAAAAACCAATTAAAGCAAACAACTGTTCTACCAATAACAATAGAAAAGAAATAGAATAAAAGGCTAAAAATTATAAATGTAAAAAATAATTATAATAGAGTCATAACAGAAATGAAAGGGGTAGGGAAAGGGTAAAATGGAAGAAGAAACAAGATTTTTTGTAGATATAAAGAGCAGTTGAGAGGTAGCATTAAAGAAAACAGCCAAGCATTGTAGCTCATTCCTGCAACTGTAGAACTGACTGAGGGAGACTGATACAGCAGGAGCATCTTAATTTCAAGTACTCTTGTGCAACTTAGTAACTTAGTGAGACCCTGATTTAAACAGTTTTTTAAAAAGGGCCAGGAATGTAGCTCAGTTCAAAGGCCCTGGGTTCCATACACAGTGCTGCAAATGATGATCATACACAGTGCTGCAAACGACGATGATGACGACAAAGAAGAAGATGATGATAATAAATTAGAGATAAAAATCTGATTAAAGAATTTTTAAAAGAAATAAAAATAAATAACTATGGGGGGGCAAACAAAAAATAAAGAAAAATGAGATCAAAATATTCCTCCATGCTATGGTGTTTAGATGGATAAAATTTCTTTCCAGGACCTATAATATTGGAATCCATCAGACAGAGGAGGGTCGGGGAGCCACTTCTGGACCTGTTTTAGTTTTTCTCGTCTACCACCTATGGGGTTGGTGGTGTATAAATGCTGAGCTTTGCCTCCTCTTTCTCACATTCATGGGGGTCAGTGATACAATATCTGCATCGGGGCACTGTTTACTCTAGAGGCTTTCTATTTTTTGTTTCCTTCAGGCATAACCAGAGCCATTGCTACCCACAACTCATTTTGCAGCATATAGGCTGAGTAGGTTTCCTACCCGCTACAGAAGCCCTCCTGTCCGGGCACCTGAAGGCATGGCAAATGTCCAAGCAGAAGTGTTTCCCTGAACATGTGGAGAGTGGGGGAAGCAGACAGACCACTGAATTCTGTCCTGGAGGGGGCAGCTGTGTTACTGAGTGATCTGGGCTCATTCTCCTCTGGAATTCACACGTGGTGGTCCCCATCACAGAGGAGGATATCTATGCCCACCACAGCCCAAGCTCCTGTTGCTTAAACCTCTGAGAGAATTTGTAACTAACCCTGTTCTTCTCCATGCCTTTCTCACGGCTGTCTCTATCCAGTGACTGTGGAGGGATGTTCTTTAGGACCCTGAAGTGTGATTGTTTTATGGTTTCTTACCCTAAATAAAACCCCTTCCAAGATGGCTGCTGGTGATAGTATTCCGAGACACGGTAGGCAATGCAGTGGATTCTTCTCCAAAGCTAACCAGCCATGCTGGAGGAGACGCTCGGACTAAATCTCTGAGACACCAGATCCTAAATAAAACCCCTTTCAAGATGGCTGCTGGTGATAGTATTCCGAGACACGGTAGGCAATGCAGTGGATTTCTTCTCCAAAGCTAACCAGCCATGCTGGAGGAGACGCTCGGACTAAATCTCTGAGACACCAGATTTACAGCTTGTCACAACCATGTATTTTTGTCCTGCAGGTAATGCGCTGGTCAGTTTATCACTGGCCTGTTTACACTCTCCCTGGATTACCTTGGATTTGTGGAATTGGGTTCCCTGCTCCCTAGGGAGCTGAATTTGGTGTTGTATTCTACTTCATATTTTTCTCTGCATTACTCTTCTGTTTACCTGTGATTTTTTGCTTTCCTGCCACTTCTTTCTTGATTCTTGGAATCTCCCCAGAATAAGGTTTCTCCTTTCTAATGATTCTTCTATTTTACCATCTTCTGATTAAAAAAAGTTTTTTTGAGAGAAGCTATCTTTGCTGTTGATGGGCTGGCTTTTAGTTGAGGTTATTTTCTCCAAAGCCATCTTGATAACTGTGTTTCATTCACTTGCTTTCATGCATGATTGTTTGGGTTAATGTCTTTTTTCCAAGATAGTGCTGTTCATGAAGGTACTTTCTTACAGGACCATGAGTTAATTGCATGTGTAGTGCAGAGGTAGAGAAAAAGGTTTTATTTCTTTTTTTTTTTAACCTCCTTACAATATTTTATTTGAAAAATATACTTGTTGTATATAATCAGCAAGCTTATTAGAAGATTTGTGAGCAAAATACACAGCAGGAAAAATACATTTTGACCCTGATCTTAGCATCATCAGAAAAATATTAGGTCCTAAGAAGCAGCTAGAAACCTTATCAAAAGATGTATTGACAGTTCTACCCTCTTTTCTAGTTGGTTGTGTAAAGAAAAACTTAGTGTTCATGCCAAGCATTTTTCTCTATTTTATATATGAGAAATATGCAATGCTATATAAGGTCTAAAGGTGTAGAGAAAGTGGGAGGGGAAGGGGAAAGATAAGAAGTGAAAAGAAAAAGTAAGAGAAAAGTAAAAAAAAATGAAAACAAAGTCTTTGTAAATAGGGAAGGGTGGAGGGGGTGAAGGGAGGCCAGGGGAATAGGGAAAAAATAAGAAGCAAGACACATCATGTAAAGATACAAGATCCCAATGATGAATGTAACTGTATTGTATACCTAAAATGTACCAATAAAAAAATAAATTTTAAAAACAGATAAAAGATAACAAATATGTGCAGAAAAGGGAAATTTTATACTGATTGGTGGCAGTGTAAACTAGGACAATAAAAGTTTTTATTTCTTGTCCCAAATCCAGAATAAATCTGATTCAGAAGAATATGTTAATCCAACCCACATGATTTAGAAGTAGAAACTAGATTAAATTCATGGACATTTTGTAAATGTCTAATGTGGTTCTCTCTTTTATATCTTAGGAAAGTCAAAGGAGGTAATATTGATGTACATCCATCAGAAAAAGCACTTATTGTTCAATATGAAGTGGAAGCCACCATTCTTGGAGAAATGGGTGATCCCATGTTGGGAGAACGAAAGGAATGTCAAAAAATGTAAGGTTTCTTTATTTGTGTACATTTTGAAACATTTTATTTGTGTATATTTTGTACATAGTTAATCTTAACATACCTTATACAAATCTGTTTTTATCTTTATGGATGTTACTACAGTATTCTTGACATACTTATCTAAGCGAGAGATTATATTGAACTATAACTATAGAGTATTCATAAGATTTTTGAAGAGAAAATAAAGTTTTTGTAATTATTAACTTGTGAAATCAATTATAAAAAGATTTTTATATGGGGCTTTTTAGTTTAATAAATCAAGATCTTAGGTAATCCTGTGTTCTTTATTCCTTGGAACTGGAGAAACTATTATGACTTTCAGAAATTCCCAAGTGGGGCCAGACCTTGAATTCATCCCTTGAAAATCTTGTCTTCTGAATAATATCAACTTAACAACTTAGTGAGACCCTGTCTCAACACGAAAAATACAAGTATACAATATAGTTAAAGGTGGGGGAATGTATAACTGGTGCTGTGGCTCAGTACAAAGGCCTTGGGTTCTCAACCCCCAATATTGAAAAAAGTTTATTTTAAATATGCTCATAGAATTTCTATTGTGTTTCTGTTCAAATTCATTGAAACAGTCAATTCTTTGTTGAAATGAAATGTGGAGATATCTTTTTTCAGTTTTTCTCTAAGTGAACTCTATTTCTACCTTCTTATGTTGAGCAAAAACTATTCAAAAATATAGTCAATAATTTAAAAGCCTTAACGGGTAGAACAAAAATAACTGAAATATATTAAAGAAAAAATGGTAAAGGACCGAATATTGCTAGGGTTGTTGTTATTGTTGTTGCAAACAGTAGATACCATTCTAGCAAATTGATTCATTTGTGTTAGTATGGATTTTCAAATACAATAAGGACTAAAGGTTTTATATATTTTACATATGAAATAAGACCTCTGAACATGCTGCCCTGCCTAGAGATTCAGAAAACATTTTATGTTGGCTTTTGTCATCTTGTTTGTCCAACTCAAAGAAAAACATTGCCTTGTGTTTTACTTCTTCTAATTATAAATAACATTTTGCTAAGATTCTGTAGTCAAGTGCATGTAGGCTTTATTAATCTATAAATTACATGTATTTTAAAGTAGTGTTACTGAATTTATCATGTGCTTTATAATATCTGAGTTGGAAATTGGATATATTACAGTATTCGTCTGAAGGGTCTCAATGCCAACACAGATATAACTTCCTTGGCACGGAAGGTGGTTGAAGAATGTAAACTTATTCATCCCTCAAAACTAAATGAAGTAGAGCAGCTGTTGTACTATCTGCAGAACCGCCGGGATTCATTGTCAGGAAAAGGTAAGTAGAACTGCTTTTTGTTGATACAAAACCTAATTGGACTGTAGTTTAGATATTTGAGTACTGAGTTTTTTTTTTTTTTTTAAAGTGTTAAGAGCAAGAAAACAAATGAAAAAATAAACATACTAATTTCCTAAATGCCAGCTTTGATTCTTCAGCATAAAATGGTCTGATTTTGCTTCATTGTGTATGTGTGTGTGTATACATACGGTAAAATTAAAAAATAAAAAGGACCCTTTCATATTGATTATAGAATAATAGAGAATTTAAGGCAGAAAACCCACTTTCTCTGCCTTAACTACAAGACCTACATAACTACTCGACTTAAGTGTCTTACTGATATTTAGTTTATAATCTGAGTGAATTATTTAAGTATGTCTGTTTTGTATATCTATGTTTAGATCTGTGTATATATCTACCTACTTCAGAGTACCCTAAAAATACAGTTTTTGCAAATCTTCCTTAGGAAAATACTATTTGATTTCTCAATCTCTATGGTTACCATTCACCTATCCTCAATTTCCTTATAAAATAACTGTGCTATTTAAGATATTAGAGCTAAGGGAATGATTATATTTACTTATATTTATTTATAAATTTATTTATATTTATTTATAAAATATATTTCATATAATCAAAAAGCAAAACAAAAAAGACATTAAAATGAAAAGTATCACAAATTAATTCCCATTTCATAGTATATGCTATTGTTTAACACTGGTAATTTCTAAAATATGGTGCTTTTAAAATAAATCATTGCTGAAGTTTTTTGACTAGACAAATTATAGAAAATGAATAACATTTTTGTTTGGGCTTTTAAAAAATTAGTCTTTTCCCATCTACAGTAAATAAAATGATTTATGCTTAATATATACTTTTGTTACACATACTATATGCTCTGTATTTTGTTGAGTGAATGGAATGGGTATACATTCATTTACAAGAATAAGGAGTCATTTGAACTTGATTGCTTCTAATCACATAGCAAACGGTATATACAGTGCTTATTGTTAATAAATTCTGTCTAGACATGGAAAATATAAAAAAAAATTTATTAAATATCTAAAAGAACCTTCTTGTTAAGATGTCTATAAATTATGAGATAGCATCTTCAAATAAATGTAAAGTAATAAATTTCCAGGGAAAAATCAGTATTTCCTCCTCCCAGGAATTAAAGGAGTATGAAAATATTTTTCTACATGGTATTTGCTTATTTTTCACAGGCGGAAACTCTGCCTTAAATGTGATTGAAACAAAAACATATTTGACTTTACGATTCATTACCTTACATGATTTTTCCTTTGCTAATTACAGCCACTGTTATAATAAATTATTTGATTGAGCCAAATTTAGCTGTTGAGATTATATGACTCTCATCTTTCACTGCTGTCATCTGAAAATAGTAAAGGGTAATTCTATTATATGTATTTTCTAATTATAGAATCAAATTTGGATACTTTTCATATTTAATGTACATACACTGCTTAGATATTTGAGCTAGATTACTAAAATATTATTTGCTTATTTATTTACAATTCTAGGGATGGAAGTCAAGACCTTGCATACATGCTAAGCAAGCACTCTGCACCCCCAATCTATTTTATTTTATTTTGAGACAAGGTCATTAAATTGCCTAAACTGGCCTCAAAATTGTGCCTCCTGGACAGCTAGGATTACAGGTGTGTGCCACCAGGCTCAGCTAATAAAGCTTTTTTTGATAGGTTTTTGTTTTTAGGAAATGAAATTGTGCTTTTAATTCAGTAATATACTGTAACATGGCTCAAAATTGTGTTTGACACTTTAGAAGCCTCCTACTTGGGAAATGAGGATTAAATTAATATATATACTCAATATTTGTCTTTAAATTTATGATCTTTTACCTCTCAGAGCAAAACCAGTGAACTATATTTTATTTTAACTTGTAAATACACCTATCATTTCTTATCTTTTTTCTTTTTATCATATTATTCAGATTATTAAATTAGTCCTATCTTTTTCTTTGCCTTAATGACTTACCTATTCCCATCTTAAATTTGAATTAGGAAAGGAAATGAAGCATACTTAAAGTTGATTATTTTGGGTTTTTTTGTTGGTAAATCTGATTAACCACGGAGGAAGTTAAGTTCCCAATATACCTTGGGAATTAATTACACATTTTATTAATTTATACTCACCAAGCCAGAGTCACTAGAATAGATGGATAGAGGTTATAGATGTGCATTTTTTACACATTTGAAAAGATAAATTTTATCAGCCAGTTAGTTTTAATATCTCCAACTTACCTCCTCAGATGCTGAAAAATAAAACTTACTTTAAAACCCTAAAAATCTATTTCTCTTCTAAAAAAATATCTTTTTACAGAAAAAAAAGAAAAATCAAGCAAACCTAAAGATCCACCCCCTTTTGAAGGAACAGAGGTAAGACTATATGAATTCTGATCTAACAGAAGACTAATTGTAAGCTATTGCCTTTTGCCATCAATAATCCATATAATCATGTTAATCAGATGTAGAATTTTAGAATGACTGAACTTAGATTTACCTGAAAAATGGTAGACAATCAGTATTTAATTGATAATGACAAATTATTGCTTTTTGACATTTTTATTTTGTTAAAATAAGTGGTATAATTTTAATATTCTCATGGCAGTGTATTTTGAAATATTGTTTATAGATACAAATTACTTTGTATTACATTTAATCTGTATTGATGTACAAATTTTAAGAGTTTATATATATCTCCTTTTGTCATAGTATCCAAAGACCTTAAGTCTCCATCTACAAAAAGATGGCTACTGTAAGTTCTTTAGAAATTTGTTTATTGTTATAAAAGCACACTGATCACAAAATATCATTCCTTTGACAGTGAGTCTGTGGACTGTTATTGTTATGTACTCTGGCCTCTTTGTTTCAGATTGATGAAGTTGCAAACATTAATGACATGGATGAATACCTTGAATTATTGTATGAAGATATTCCTGACAAGGTTCGGGGTTCAGCCTTGATCCTACAGCTTGCTCGCAATCCTGATAACTTGGAAGAACTACTGTTGAATGGTGATTTATGTCTATAAATATTAAAATAGAAAAATTATTGTAAAACTTCCCTACCCTGTGCAGTTTGGATTTATAATTTAAGTAGTATAGATATGCATACACAATATTTTCATGTCTTGAATATTTATATTCTGAATGCTAACCCTTTTTTATTTTGTTTCTCTCACCTTATTTTCATGGCATATCCTTTTCCATCTTATTTTCACCTTAATTATTTCTTTGAATATGAAGTATTTATACTGTAAGTAACATGTGATTGAGTCATGTTTCTTTTTAAATCCAGCATTATGCATTAATGTAATGTTTAGCCTGTTTAACGTTAATGTAATGTAATTGCTTACAAGGTATAATTTGTATCTAGTATTTTATACTTGTTTTTTCTGTGGCTTTTCCATTTTCGTCAACTATTCCTTTGTTTGTGTCAGTTTCTTGTTTATCATTTTAATCCCCTTATTCATACATTTTCTTAAATTTCTGTATTTTAGTGATTACCTCATAACAATTTTAAACGATTTCTGTTCACAACTATACCAAATTTACTTTAACAGTACATAAAAATTTACTCCAGAACACTATCACCACATGTATTTTTTATGTCAGATAAAAAGAATACAATCAGAAATATGACTATATTGCCTTTTTAAGTTTATCCTTATAATTGCTTTTACAAGTATTTAATATTTCTTTATGTGGATTTAAATTACTACATTGTCTTTGTATTAGTTGATTATTTTTTTTAGTTTGTATCTGCTATTAGACCTTTTCATGAGTTTTTTTATGTCAGTTATTATATTTTTCAACTACAAAATTTTTTGGCTCTTTATAAATTACATCTTTTTGGTAAAGCATCATTCTCATACATTCACATACCTTCCTTTAATTCTTCAGAATTAAATAAATTCTGTTTTTTAAAATATAATAACTGGCAAAAAAAATAACTGGCTTAAAATCTTTATTTCACTAGGTTAAAGTCTGCTTTCTCATGGACAGTTTCTATTGACTGGTTTATATTCTGTTTTTGTTTGTTTTGTTTTGTTTTGTTTTGTGTTTGGTCCCGGAGATCGAACTCAGGACCTTGTTTTGTGAGACAAACGGTGGCACCACTGAGCTAAATCCTCGGCCCTAGTTTATTTTCTGAATATGGGCCATGCTGTTCTGTTTCTTTGCCTTCCCCATTGTTAAAATAGTATCATGTGGCACCTCTGAAAAATCAGATTCCCACTATCTCCAGGGATTATTATTGATAACGTTTGTTTACTGAATTTTCATAGGTTAATTCTGTAAAGTCTGTGGTCTTTGTCTTTATGGCTACTGAAATCTCTGCTCAGTTAGCCAAGTGGTCACCTAATGATTAGATAGAGATTTCCTGTCAATCAGCCTCTCAGCCTTTGTGCAGGGTTTCTGTTTGTGTGTTCACTGTCTTTAATGCTCTGGCAGGTAGCTTACAGACTGTACATTTATTTACTGCTTGCATATTGCCTCAGGCTCAGCTGGACCTGAGAGATTAGGGCTCTCTAGGTCTTTCCCTGGTACATACATAGCCCTGGACCTGTGTGTGGCCTTCTGCACTCCTGAAGAATATATGTTGCAACTCTTTAAATGAAAACTTCTATGGTTTCTTTTTCGGTTTTTCTCCCCACCCTCCATCAGCCTTTTATCCTGTTATCTAACTGGCAAGGCTGCCTCACGCAGTTGTGATATACCTTAGTAGTTTTCAACAGATACCATGAGTTTAAAGCTGTTTGCATGGGGAAAATTGAGTCATCTCAAATAAAGACAACACTGAGAATGGAGCTTTTTAGCCAGCGCTCAGGTAGGTTAGATAGACACAGTTCTCTGGGAGGGAGCTTGTCAGGAACTTTGGGCTTTTCTTTACCTCCAGCTCTTGACCATTAGGCTGTTTTCACTGATGTAGTTCCAGCCCTATTGGATCTCGTGTCTACCGCATAACTGCACAGAGGGCATATTCTTTGAATATTCTATGAATTGCCACAGAGCAAGACACGCATCTAATTTTTCTTGATTAAACACTCTGAATTGTTGTAAGAATTTAGTTCCCATAGGTTTGAAAGAGTTTATTTTGACCATTTTTTACCAGTTTCCCATTTGCTTATGAAGGAGTGGAGTTTTGAGATCCTTAATTTTCCTAGAATTCATTTTTATTAAAAATGGAAGAACAGAGTTGTATTTTTTTTCCTATGTTTTAGCAGCTGTTTATCCCAAAAGTTAGTGAGTGCTTTTTCCTTTCCCAAGTTTTGCACTGCTTTTTTTATACTATGTCTACCATTCTTTTATGAAATAGGTACTTCTTGAAAACTGACTCTTTGCTAGGTGCTGTTCCTACAGATTCATGGATCTCTTTAGTGTTCTTTCTCTCTTCCATCAGTCTCGTGACTCCCATACCAATAAAATGATGTTCATTGTCTTATTTTGTATTTTGACTAGAACTGTAGAATAAGAAAAATGCGCGTCTATTTCCTTTTTTTTTTCTTTTTGCTGGTCTTGTACATTTGTTTTATGTATCAGTATGCGATAAATTTATCATATTTTGTGGGAAATCATGAAAGAATCTTCACTGTGATTGCATTCAATCTATAGATCAATGTTTGATGGATTTCAACCTTTTATAAACTTTGTATTTTCATCTGGCTATTTCTTGATAACCTTTGTGAAAGTCTTATAGCTATATTTTTGAGGCACTTTTCTAACGGAAAATGAAATTAAATTGGTCATGAAATCTAGCCCTACATTCATGTTACAGAAGAGTAGTATTTCTATAATGTATTAAGAAGTATAATTTTGTCTGATTTATAATGGTCAAAGGCCTTTTGGGATTTACTTGATTGAACAGTAGTAAACCAGATTCTTATTAAGTAGGACTTTATGGAGATTTTGTGTGTTAATAAACATTGCCTACCTATTCTGTTCAAAGCTTATACTATTCCAGGGCTCTACATTGTAAATGTAGATAATACTGTGAAATACTGTTGCAGGGTATTTTTTTAGTTTACTAAAATCCACTAAGTGGATTAATAACTAATAGTTAATCCATGTTTAATAATCTAGCCAGAAATAAACAATATTTTATAGCTTTAATAGGTACTAATAATACAGCTTATTAAATATAGTTGATCCTGGGTACTTAAAGACAGTTGAAATAATTTCTATATTTAACATGCACATATATTATTTCAGTACTTTTAAAAATTTATAACCCATGGGACAACTCCAATTTAAAATTAATATCATTACTTTATATTTACTTAATTTATGACAGTTTTCATTAATTTATTATTTTTAACCTCTGAATATAAATCTAACAGTGAGGCTTATTAACATATCTGGGAGATAATTTTTTGGAAGACCGTATAGTCTATTGGTGTGTGTTACTGAAGTGATAGATTTATTTTGTATGTAAATTTTATTTAGTCAACTTATTTTAGTGGAACGAGGTATCAACCTTCTAAAAAAATAAAATGAAATTTTTTCTAGATTCTAATTTTTCATATACATTAAATCAGATGTTAAAAAAGAAAAAATCAGTACTCTATAATAGTAAAATTCCAAGTAGAAATGCAAATTAAGTAAAGAGTGGCCTTTTTATTATTTGTATTGTCACCCATAATACAAGTATTATATTATTTTACCTAAATTATGTTTGTTTACAGTTTAGACATGTTTTAAGTAAAAGTAATATTTTAGTTTTAAAAACAGCTTTCTGTATTGGAAACAAGCATCCTACTTTTTTGTCCTAGTTCCTTCCCAGCTTTGTTATTTATTAATAAGTAGACATTTAAAACCAGTCATCCTTTATACCAGACTCAAAGCAAATGATCATTTCTTATGTTGCCTTTCTATAGAGACTGCCCTTGGTGCACTAGCAAGAGTCCTGAGAGAAGACTGGAAGCAAAGTGTTGAGTTAGCTACAAACATAATTTATATCTTTTTTTGCTTTTCCAGGTAAGTATAAAAATTATAAAATAATTTTTTTAGAAATTGTTTCTGTCTGTAGATCATTGGTTCAATCTTAGTTTGTTTACTTGTGCTGTGCTTCTGAACTCTTCTTTTTTTCTGATTGCCATTCTCTGTCCTGCTCTCGGTTACCTTGTCATTCTGTCTGCACTCACCCGTGCATGTGCACCTGCACACAGGTGCGATGGGTGAGTGTGGTGGCTTAGCATTTTAGAATGTAGGCTGTAGAAGCAGACTGTCTTGATTTGAATCCAAACCTTGCTATTTATTAATTGTTTTGGCTTCTACTATAAGCTAGGATGCATGGTACCTGTCATTCTATGCCTAGGTTATTACAACTAACTTAATGTCCCACCCATGTTCCCCCAAATAATAGGATTTTATTCTTTTTTATTTGTATAGCTAAGTAATATTCTATTTACAGTAGCATATACTATTTAAGTAGAATATTCTATTTAAGAAAAATGTCCATTGAGACATTTTGAAAATTTGCTAGCTAATTCCTAGAAATTTGCTTGCCTGTATTTTCTTAAAATATGCTGGCATTAATAAATACTTGGATGACTTGTCTAGGAAACAGTGCTAAAACCTTATTTCTAATATTTCACTCTTATCAGCTTTCTATTAACATCAGCTTAACATCAGCTTTTTCTAATATAGGTCCATATTTCATTAAATAATAGTCTGAAAATTCTCAGAATATATTGAATGGTTAATAAGGTTCTAAATTATAAAATGGTGTTTCATTTCCAACTTCTTAAAAATAATTATATTTAAACTGGGTATGGTGGTACGTTCCTGTGATCCCAGCATGTGGGAGGCTGAGACAGGAAAAATGTGAATGCAAAGTGAGTCTGGGCTACATAGTGAGATCCTGTCTCAAAAATATATTTAAAGTAAGAATATCATGTTAGAATATATTTAAAGTAATCTTAAGATTTTAAATTTTTGAGTATACTGTGGATCTATTCATTTATTGGAATGTGTGTGTCAAATTTATTTCCTATATTGTTTATACCAGTATTTGCCAAAATCTAATTTCCTATACCAATATTTGAATAATATTGAAATCTTTACTTTCAAGCTTTTCTCAGTTTCATGGAGTAATTACACACTATAAAATCGGAGCTCTTTGTATGAATATCATTGATCATGAATTAAAAAGACACGAGCTTTGGCAAGAAGAACTTTCTAAGAAGAAGAAGGCTGATATCCTTTTAGAGTGTCATTTTGACCCAGATTTTGTCTCTTGTTATAAGTTTTGGATGGATAGGATTTTTTTGTTCTTTTTAAAAAATATTACTAATTGTATCACTTGAAAACCATACAAGATTATATTGAAGGTTAAGATGAACATTGAAAGTGTGACAATAGAGTTACTATTTTGTTTCCCCCGACTTTGATTACCCATAAGATAGAAGGAAGAAGCCACTAATGGTGCTGGATAACAATATAGGTGATTTTCCACTATAGTGGCTACACCACTATGTCCAATAAGATCTATTTAGTGGAATTAGGACCCAGTGTTGTTTATGCTCTTCCCTCTCAGTGATTTTGATGGGAATACAAGTAAATTTCGTGATGTAGCTAGTTTAAAGTTCTAGTTTTTTATGATTTATTAAGTGTAAAAATACTCTTCTTAACAAATGCAGTGGTAGCTCAGTACCAATCATGAACTTGATTCTTTCCACAATTCTGGTCACGAACTAAGTTGGACAAGAACCAAATCAAAATCACTAGTTAAGTTCAACGTTGACCTTATTGGAGAAATTTGATTTGGCTTTTGTCCAGTTTGGTTTGCAACCAGAACTATGGAGATAATTGAGTTCATGAAATGAGGTAACACTCTACAATTTTGAGAGGCCTATAGGATAATGGAACCCATGACAGGAAACTTAGAAATAATGTTTAAGCTATCTTGCAATATAAATATTTGTATTTTCCCTGACAGAATTACATAGTCCATTCTTTGACAGTGTTACTTTCTATTGTTTTAACTCCTCCTGTTTTTGAAATTCTATTTATTATAATATTCCTTTGCCTAGTAAACCACCAACTTATATTCCTTGGTTGTAGTCTTATATACAGAAATAAAATAGAACAAAGATATTCTTTCAACATTACAATTGTCCTAGTATTTGAAAATATTTATTATATTGCCTATTATAATATGATTCTTCTAAGTCAGAAGTCCTGACTTATTTGTATCTGTCCTAAGATGCCATGTTTTACAGATCAACAAGCCATGATAAATCCTTTGAACTCAGTGTTTACTGATGTCTTTTGAAAAATGAAAACATTATTCCTGTTGGGCACAGTATTATACATTTCTTAACACTCCTTTGTAAAACAAACAAAAAAAGTAGACCTTATTCTTTGGAATATTTTTCTCTTGGCATCTCTCATCTGAAAAGGGATCTAAAAAGCTTTAGATTTAATCTGCATCCTTTGAATATTCTGGGAATCTCTGAAGTGGAATCTAGTATTTTTTAGTAACTAAATCAATTCCTATAAAGCAATACTTCTTGTATGGACCCACTGGATAATCTGTTGAAAGTTGTAGACTTGGCAATTTAAATAAAATATGTGCTTACAATTTTTTGTTTTTTGGCGGTACAGGAGTTTGAACTCAAGTCTTTGTGCTTGCCAGACAGGCACAGTGCCACTGAGCTAAATCCCTGGGCCTTGATTTCTTGGATAGTAGGAATTCAAGTATTTGGTGAAGTTCAAATATTTCCTCAGCCAGGGATTAGGAATCCAAGAAAATTTTTGAACCCTTGGCTAAGATGTCCTTATAGAACAATTACTATTCAGAGAAGAATATTTTATTGAACTATTGTTAGAGAAAGTAACTAAATAAAATTGCATTTAACATTTAGTAGTGCTATTCTTCAGAAAGAATGAATGGTCCTTAACTTAAGTTTTTACTTGATGAAGACCTTGAAAACCAAACCTTGAAGAAAGATTATGAAAAAACCTTTAAAAAATACCAGGGGCTTGTGGTAAAACAAGAACAGCTATTGAGAGGTATGAATTCCTAAGCAATGTGAAGAACAACAAAGTATTTACTCTGAATACATTTATTTTGTTCCTTTTTTGTCATACCAGTAAGCTAATATCAGAATAATGGAAAGTTCCATAAATTTTAAATGTTGAGTCCTTCTATCCTTAGTAACTTTTAAATTTTATTCTACTGCTTTCCCTCATTTAACCCTTACATGTATTTTAATATGTAACCTCTTCAAAAAGAATCTTTATTTCTAAAACTTAATTTATGTATTTTCTAAAGTGATTTATTTTATTGCTTTTCTGAGAAAGAGATATGGGATTTCAAAATAATCCATTTAATAGAAGCAATTCCTTGTTTCTAAGCTTTATTGAGGAATATTAGATTTTACTAGAGTGCTTTTTGCATTCACTGATAAGATGCAAATGTTTATGATGGCCAGAGAGAATGATGTATGTCTTTTGTATTTGGATATGGATTTTTAGTTTAGCTCATTAGTCATTTGATTATTTTTGTACATGAAAATATTTGCTAACTTTCAAAATACTCTTACATACTTTTTAGCACTTTTAGTTATAGTTTTCAAAATATTTCTGGAGTAATTTAACCTATTGTTGAACATGCCAGATTTTCAAACTCAATTTTTTTATTCATATATATTTGTGGTACATAGTGAACACATTTGTTTTAAATAGTTGATACATTTACATGACACATACTTGTTCTTTTGACTTCCTCTTTCCCTCCCCTCCAATATCTCCTTCCCATTTCCAAAAAAATTTTATCTTCCTATTTCCTGTTTTACATTTTTTTTCTCTGACTTTTCTATATTGCTATTTAAGCTTGTGTGTCTGATTTAGTTTACTTAGCATTGCAGTCTCAAGACGCATCCATTTTCCTACAAATGACTCAAATTTATCCTTCTTTATAACAGCGTAGTACTCCATTACATATAAATACCACATTTTCCTTATTCATTTATCTGTGGATCGACAGGCCATTTTGAAAGCTTAGCTTTTATGAATTATGTTGTTGTAATCATAAGTAAGCGTGTATCCCTGTAATAATAATGTCTTTAATTCTCCCAGGGGTACACCTAGAAGGGGAATAGCTAGGTTCAACAGAATTTCTTGTTTTAGTTTTTTTTTCAGAAATCTCCATGCTGATTTCTATAATGGATTTACTAGTTTACATTTCCACCAGCAATGTAGAAGGGTTTATTTTTCCCTGCAGTCCCTAGGGTTTGTTTTTGATTAATTTCTTGACGATAGCTATTCTTTTTTTTTTTTTTTTTTTTTTTTTTTTTTTTTTGAGTTTATTGATACTTTTTAGTTATGCAGGTACATGTTACATTCATCTTTGGGATTTTGTACCTTAACATGACAGATACTGGTTCTCATTTTTTCCCCATATCCCTGCCCTCCCTTTACCCCCTCCACCCTCCCCTATTTACAAAGATTTTGTTTCCATTTTTTATTTTCTCATATTTTTCCCTTATTTCATTTCCCCTACCTTTCCCACTTCCCCTACACTATTAGCCCTTTGCTTCCTATTTTCACATTATCAGTTATACAATTTGGAACTTACTTGCACTTTTAGAGGGTTTTTTTTGGTGTTTTTTTTTTCTTTTTATTGAGTTTATTGGTACAATCTAGGTATACAATACAGTTACATTCATCATTGGGATCATGTACCTTTTCATAATAGGTCTTGATTCTCATTTTTTCTCCTTGTCCCTGCCCTCCCTTCACCCCCTCCTCCCCTCCCCAGTTGCAAACACTTTATTTCCATTTTTTCAGTTTCTCATATTTTTTTCCTCTCCCTTATTACCTTTCCCCCACCCTGCCCACTTTCCCTACACCTTTAGCCCTTTACTTCCATTTTTTCCTCTCTTATTACCTTTCCCCCACCCTGCCCACTTTCCCTACACCTTTAGCCCTTTACTTCCTATTTCACATTATTAATTATCTCATTAAGATCCTGTGTACTCTTATAGTTTTTCGTACAAGAGAAACTATTGGGTATTTCAGTTAAAGAAATCTCTGTATGAACATTAAGAATAGGGAATCCTAAAATAAAACTAAAAAGGAAAGTAAATGAGAAAAGGTGATGATGTAACATTAAAATAATCCTTAATTTTTGAGATGAAAATGGTCCCTGAACATATTTAAATGGCTTCTTGCTCTTGTAGTCTTATCTTATTATTTTTTTCATTATTTAGAGAATACTTTTTAGTTTCTGTAATCAAACCCACGTAGATATGACCTTACATATTTAGTACAATGTGTTACCCCTGTACACATGGAACAAAAAAATAAATAAAAATAAATTAATATTTCTAGACCAATATAGCTGTCCATTTCTGTACAATGCCAACTCAACACAGTAAACTGGGATAACTTTTTCCAAAGTTGACAGCACTGTCAAAGTTTCCCAAAATTCAGTTTATACATATATGTATATATATTTATGTTTATATAAAAAGACTAATAATAGCAGTATGTTATGCATCAATAGCAGCAACAGCTTTTCCAGGTTCTGCAGTCATCTGAACAAAATTATAGATATTCAGCACATTCCATTAAAAAAAACAAAGAAAAGAATAATATCCAGAAAGCAGCAAAGTTCTGTTGCTGTTGTGGTACCTGGCACCATGTTTTTTATTAGCATCTTAATCATCATCTGGAAACAGAACAGTCTAGAGTAATATCATTAAATATAGCTCTGATACAGCAGGGTCACTACTATGTATCATAAAGCAGGTACAAGATAATTTACATTCACAGAGGTATGATACAGTACTGTCCTGCCTCAATAATACTAGATTCAGTTTTGGTTTGAAATTTGCTTTGTCTGCAAATAAGATTGCTACCCCTGTTTTTTTTCTGGGCTCCTGTCACATGGAGAATTGTTTTCTATCCTTTCACTTTCAGTCTATGGGCTTCTTTTTGCACTAGGTGTGTTTCTTGTATACAACATATTGTTGGATTTTGCTTCTTATTCCATTTTGCCAGTCTATTTCTCTTGATTGGTAAGTTGAGGCCATTGATATCGATGGTTATAACTGATATGTACTGACTTATTACTGACATATTATTGGCCTTTTATTGACTCTTTTTACTTTTTCACCTTCTCCTTTTAGTTTCTTGCCTTACCTATTTGATTTGCTCTGTTGGGCCTCATGATGTTGATGCCTTCATTGTCTTTTTCTAGGATCTTGTTTAGAATTGCTTGTAGTGCTGGTTTGGTATTCGTGTACTTTCTCAGGTGTTCTTTGTTGTGGAAGTGTCTTATTTCCCCATCCATTTTGAAAGAGAGTTTTGCAGGATACATCAGTCTAGGTTGGAGGTTGTTCTCTTTTAGTACTTGAAATATCTCATTCCAGGCTCTCCTTGCCCCAAGGGTTTGTGTTGAAAAGTATGCTGTGATTCTGATGGGCTTTCCTTTGCATGTGATTTTTTTCTTTTTTCTTACTGCTTGTACTATTTTGTTCTTCTTTTGGGTTTCTGGGATCTTGATTATTATATGTCTAGGTGTAGATTTTTTTTATTGTAGCTAGTTGGGGTCCTGTACGCCTCAGTTATCTGAATGTCAAATTCTTCCCCTCTGTTTGGGAAGTTTTCTGTCATTAATTCTGCAAACAGCTTTTTTAAGTCATTTGTATTTTCTCCTGCTACTTCATGGATTCCTATCAGTCTTATGTTATTCTTCTTTGCATCATCTAGGAGTTGTTAGATCAATTTTTCATGATCCCTTACTGTTTTTAAGAGACCTCTCTTTTCACAGACACTGACTGCAGTCTTATCCTCTATATCTGAGAGTCTATCTTTGCATTCTTTTATTCTGTTGTGTACACTTTCAGTGGAGTGTTTAATCTCCTGGATATCTGTTTGAATCTGTTTTATGGATTCCATTTCTTTCCTATGTTGGGCATTTATTTTTTCCATTTCTTTCTTATGCTGGGACTTCATGGCTTCTGTCATGGTCCTGAGCTCATCTATTTTTTTGTCAGTTTCTGCTCTAGAGTCTCAAATCACGACTTCCATTTTGCTCACTATCTCTGTGGTTATCTGGGAAATTTTTTCTGTTTTGAATTTTTCTAGAGCCTGATTGATCTGTTTTGTTACTTCCTGTGCTTTTTCATACCAGAGAAACTATTCAGTATGTACACAAGTGTGTCCTATTTATTATTTATTTATTTTTAAGAGTAGGAAAAAAAGTTTCTGCCTAAAAGAGACAGAAGAGGGACCAGAAAGTGGGCTGCCCACTCACCCCGCTTTTCAAAGATGTTTTATACAGCAGAGCCATGTGGTAAGGCGTGTACAAAGTGGGACAAAACCATAAGACCCAATAGAAAATTACAAAGTGGGCATGAGGTGGAGCAAAACCATGATCAACCAATAAGATTACAAGTACAGTCACCCAGGTAGTATTGATTAAATGGGGTTCAAATGGGAGAGCAAGTCACACAGCAAGCATATAAGGATTTCAGTAAGGGTGGGGGTGAGGGGGATATTTCCTGGAAAGGCTGGACCAAGATCTTGGTCCTCTACCCCCATGATAGATACCTATTTAGAATATCAATTACTTTTATTTATCTGCAGGAGAAGCATAAGGGTCTAGTAGTTTTTCTCCTTTTACAATTCTGGCCTTCAGTGAATGTGTCTTGATTATCCTCCATGTTGGCTCCTTGCTGTTGGCTCCTTGAAGGCAGCCCTAACTGCCTACAAGATATCTAATTAACTCACCTATCTGCAGTATTCCCCCCTCTGAAGAAGTACCCCTAACTGCTGCTGTGAGGGGGCAAAGTGCAAAGACAGCTCTTTCTATTTCCAGCTGAAGAGGGTAGTAGTTGTGATTAGCAGTTAAGAGTTACTCTACAAAGGGTCTGTCTAAAGGCCTTCAGTAGGCGCCTGGAATTGTCATCTCATTAGTTGCGTAGCTTTTACATCTGGAGGAGACAAAGCCAAAAAAACAGTTAAGAATGCATGGGCCAAATTATAAGGTCATCAGGACTGCT